AAGAACTTTAGCTTTTACTCTGAATGAAATGAGAAGCCACTGGAGGGTTTTGAGGGGAGGAGTAACATGACCTCACTTTGATTTTAACAGGATCTGGGTTGAGATCACACTAGAAAGAGTGAGTGGGCAGGCAGACCTGTTAGAAGTCTACTTCAACAAACTCAGGCAAGAGATGATAGTGGTTTGGAGGTAGTAAGAAGGGAAAAGATTATGGATACAATTTGGTAGTAAGAACCAAAAGCATTTGCTGAAAGATGGAATGTGGAATATAAAAGAGGACAATCCAGGATGATTCCAAGGTTTTTGGCCAAGGAAACAGAAGGACAGAGTTGTCATTTTCTGATAAAAGGACGAATACAGGAGGTAGATCAGAGCTGGAACATCAGAATCTCAGTGCTGAATATATCAAGTTTCAGGTATCTACCAGACTCCAAATGGAGATGTAGAGTAGGCAATTGAATACAGGAGCATGAGTTCAGGGGGGAGGCTGAAGCTAAAGATATACATTTGTGAGTTGTTAGGGTGATAAGTGATATTTAAAACTATAAGACATTCATGAGATCACCAAATTGGATTATATAGAGGTTGTCTTCTAATGTATTCAAAATAACTGGTTGGTATTCCAGGAAAGGACAGGCGCTCACATTTCATGGGTGAGAAAATAACTGTGGCTGAAGAACAAACTTGATTTTACACAACTTCCAAGTTTAAGAGGGAACCAGGATTAGAACATAGCTCCTCATCCATTAACACAAGGCTTTGTTCTCTGGGAATGTAATAAATGGTGTTCGATTTGAACTACCTGAAAAATAGACCACCTCCTAAGAGCATTAAAAAAATGTCAAAAATCAAAAAAACTCACACGTAACTTCTTATGCTCTCCTGTGAATTCAGCTGAAATAAAAGAATAACTTAGAAATCAGCATTTCAGATATTCTTCTAATTAAAAAAAAAAACCTTCTTTTGAAACTGAGAAATGATGCCACTAGACAGGTGGTACAGGTGGCTTTGTAAGAAAAGCCCAGAGGCCTTCCATCGTGGTCATCCTACACCAAGGGCCACATAATGATCATGCAATGAATATTCATGTTTATCATCACAGGTCCAAGAACATAAGGTGGTATTAATTAGTTTACTAAGGAAAGAGCTTCCTGGCTCCTCCTATGGTAGTTAAAAGCCATAGAGCATAACATGTGGGCCCAAAAAGAAGACATAATAGACTTCATTCAACCGTGACATTTTGGAGCAGTAAGAAGTCTCAGAACTCATCAGTCCTCTCATTTTAGAGATAAATTAGCTAACGGCACGCAAGAGGAACTAAATGCCCTAGCCAAAGGGCTTGCCGGTTAGTGACAGACTCAATACCACTACTAGACACGGGACTTCCCTGTGGTCTGAAACCAACTACTCCCTGTGTTAACAACCATTTTATTGAAATAACTTCAAGAAACAGTCCTTAATAACTTCTAAGCTCAGGAAATAAACAGAGCTAGAGAAGAAGACAAAAAGAAAAAAACAGGAACAAAAAAAAATCACTTTGCTTTCATCGTATCTCTTAGACAAGTTTTTTTCCCTTTTTTTATATTTTTATTTATTTATTTTGGCTGCGCAGGGTCTTAGTTGTGGCATGCGGGATCTTTGTTGGGGCATGCGGACTTCTTAATTGCAGCACGCATGCAGGATCTAGTTCCCCAACCAAGGATCAAACCCGGGCCCCCTGCATTGGGAGAATGGAGTCTCACCCACTGGACCACCAGGGAAGTCCCCTCTTAGACAAGTTTTCAACATCATGGTCATCAACCAGTCCCATGACTACTCTTTTTGGAAACTACGATTATGCTTGTTAACATTACAATTCCAATAATAATTGCTATCATTTACCAAATACCTTAAATGCACCAAGTTCAATATTAGTAACTATTATCAGAGATAACAATGGAGCAAGGACACAGAAGTTCTAACCAAGATAATAACCAAACACTAATTATATAGAAACCTATCAAAAATGTGAAGTACTCTGGCACTGTCATGTATTACTAGTGATAAAACCAATTAGTGAGCAGCAGACCAAACGCATTAAGATCTGCAAAAATGCTTACACCCTTCGGACAAATAGTGACCAAACTTTCATTTTTCTTCTGGACACATAGGAAGACAACATTTCTCAGTCCCCTGTTCATCTAAAAAGGATGATGCAACTGATATACAGCTAATGGAATGTCGTGGAATTCATGTGGACCATTTCCATTAAAAAAATCTCCCTCGGGCTTCCCTGGTGGCACAGTGGTTGAGAGCCGGCCTGCCGATGCAGGGGAGACAGGTTCGTGCCCCAGTCTGGGAAGATCCCACATGCCATGGAGCAGCTGGGCCCATGAGCCATGGCCGCTAAGTCTGCGTGTCCGGAGCCTGTGCTCCGCAACGGGAGAGGCCACAACAGTGAGAGGCCCGCGTACCGCAAAAAAAAAAAATACTCCCTCAAATAATCCCTTGCTCTTGCCATACCAGAAGCATCATTCCAAAATAGAAGGAGCCTGGATACCTGAGTCACCACTTAGAAGACAGCTGCCAAGCCAATATCTGATAAAGAACACCTACATTAAAACAGATAGCTAGTGGGAAGCAGCCGTGTAGCACAGGACATCAGCTCTGTGCTTTGTGACCGACCACCTAGAGGGGTGGGATAGGGAGGGTGGGAGGGAGATGCAAGAGGGAAGAGATATGGGGATATATGTATACATATAGCTGATTCACTTTGTTATACAGCAGAAACTAACAAAACATTGTAAAGCAATTATACTCCAATAAAGATGTTAAAAAATAAATTAGATAATAAATTAGATAATATGTTTAAATGCTAATAAATAAATAAATGTCTGCTTCTGCAAACCACATTATGCCTTCCAGTGAAAACTGAAAAGCAAATAAATTAAAGAATTGATTATACTTGTGAAAAGCCTGCTTTCTAGCTATCGTTTGCTGCTCAAGAACTGGGAGACTTCAGATTTAAGTCTAAATTTCCTTACTTCTTAATAAATACTTATAATTATTATTGGAAAAAAGAACACGTACATTGAACTTAGTGTTTAAGAAATTTATTATGTCAAGTCACTGAGTGACTTGTGGTATTTGTTATAGTAGCTAGTGTTACTCGTTCAGATTAATACTATTGTTTTAAAAATATGCAATGGTTAGAATCAAAAGTAAGAATGAAATAAAACTATGTAAAAATGGCGGAATTTAGAGTCCTTTTTTTTTACACTTCGAAATTACTTTAATGCCATTTGTATATTAAGGGGGGGTTCTACTCTATATAATGTCTGATTAAATTTTTAAATTAGCATATACTGGTATTGAAATTAAAAAAAGAAAAAAGTTGTTAAACAACTACTGCTTTAATAACAATTTTTAAAAGTAATTAAAACCAAAAACATAAAATGTCATTTGAATTTTTCATCTTTGCCACAGGATAGAATTCAAATAAGTCCTTAGTACCTCTTTTTAAAATAACGCCACCTGGGACTTCCCTGGCGATCCAGTGGTTAAGACTCCGTGCTTCTAATGCAGGGGGCACGGGTTCGATCCCTGATCGGGGAATTAAGATCCCACATGCCGTGCAGCACGGCCAAAAAAAAGAAAAAAATTAAAATAATGCCACCTTTTATTAATATAAATAGACCTTTACTCACATGTTACCAAGTGTTATCACCTTATCTCAGTTGCTCCTCATAAAAATCTGTCTTGCCTGACTTCTTAAGACCTCATTATCTCCACTTCACAAATGGGAAAAGTGAGGCTAAAAAAGCCATGATCTCTGTCCAGAAAACACATAGCTAGCATATAGCTATTTTAGTGTATAGTATACAGCTAGTATACACTTATATACTAGCTGAAACAGCTAGCACTAGTATCAATGTAGTTTCAATCCTAATCCAATATTCCTGTCCTTATACCATGCTTCCTCTCTTACAGCATCCAACACAGGTCAACTGATTATATCAAAGTGCCTTTCATCCAATATGTATTCAAAAGATGCTCGTGATTTTGACTCAAATATCTGATGTACTCTTAGAATTATCACTTATGGAAGAATCCACATTTCAATGTGGAACTGAATTCAAAGAAACCATGCCATTCTTCTAAAAATGACCCCATATACACAAAGTAGTACAGATATGAGAAGATATGAACTAGGTCCAAATTTTACCATAATACTAAAGGAATCAATTATATTTTAAAGAAAAGCAAATTAGTGCTGGATACTGGACTCAAATAATCTATTTTATTTATTTTTTTTTAAGATTTTTTTGATGTGGACCATTTACAAAGTCTTTATTGAATTTGGTACAATATTGTTTCCATTTTATGTTTTGGTTTTTTGGCCGCGAAGCATGTGGGATCTTAGCTCCCCCACCAGCGATCAAACCCACACCCCCTGCATTGGAAGGCAAAGTCTTAACTACTGGCCAGCCAGGGAAGTCCCTCAAATAACCTTTTTTTAATAAATTAAAAAAAAATTTTTTAAGTTTTAGTTATTTTATTTATTTTTTGGTTGAGCAAGGTCTTAGTTGTGGCTCGCCAGCTCCTTGGTTGTGGCATGCGAACTCTTAGTTGTGGCATGCATGTGGGATCTAGTTCCCTGACCAGAGATCAAACCCGGGCCCCCTGCATTGGGAACACGGAGTCTTATCCACTGCGCCACCAGGGAAGTCCCATCAAATAGCCTATTTTAAATGACAGCTACTGGAATACAGATATTAAACGTCAACATTCATAAAGGAATGATAAATTTATCAATGTAAGTCTCAGTTATCTGAAAGAACTACCCAAAAGACATGTTTCTTCAATATGTATAACAACTGCTCATGAAATATTTTCAGACAGCATGACAACTTAGCTTTCTAATAAGCAATACTAGCAAGAGGCACTGAGAATCATTTGTGTTACAAAAGAATAAAAATGAGATGCAACGATCTGTGGGTGGCAAGTCCAGATTCCCTTACCTTTATATACCTTTTCAGTGTTACACAAGTGAAGTGTGAAGTAGGTATCTAGGAGTTGATGGCCATTCCTATTAACAATGTTCCGGGCAGCAATGTTCCGAAGATGTCTAAGACGTCGCTGAAAAATAATCACAGAAAAAGAGGAGTATTCAGCTTTTTCCTCCTATAAAGCTTTCTGAAAGTTACAATTCAAACATAAAATATAGTAAGTTGTCCCAGTCGTTTATTTGTTGAGCCAGCAACCTTAACCCAGTCTCTTATTTATGCCTCAGCATCTCTTCTGTCAAATAGGAACTATTCCTGCCCTATATCATTTACAAGGTTGTTGGGAGCATGAAATAACAGATACGAAACATTCTTGAAAAGCATAAATGTTATATCAATGCTATATACCTGTAGAATAGCGTTAGTGTTTCCTGGAACATAAACTAAGTATAATAGTAATTTGCTTTTTTCCCTTCGGAAGGATGCTTGTAGACATGCGAAGTCCACCTCATACCAACAGAAAATCAGCCATTATTACACACTTACACCTCTGTTGCTAGCTCAGTCTGACGCCAGATCATCTATTACAACCAGGAAAAGAAGCCAAAGCCAAAAAATAAAAGCAATAACTCACCGTTCACTCCATCCAGCCAGTAACCCAACTGTTGCCAGCTTAAATTCTCACTTGACCAGCAGTTAACCGGCCCCTATTTCCTAATCAGGCCTCCTTCCCAACCATTTCTCCAACTAGGATGCATGAATTACTTGGAGTCACAAGTGTTGGAAAGGCAAAGCTCCATAAGCAACAGTAGAAATCAACAAAAATATAACTTAAGGCATAGCCAAATCATCTCATATCAAAAAGAGAAAAAGTTGGCAATGCTGAAGTCTAAGCACAACAGATTCATTCTCAAAAGCTAGTTCCCTGTGTCAGATCATTATTTTCAGAGACTTAAAAATAGAAACCATGGGCTCAGTTTTAAATATGCTTAAAGTTCTCCCTTCAGGCTGAAAGCCCACTTTGCTAAGTCCATCTTTAATTACATGTGCAGTCAGCCAGAAAAGTTCAGTTCTTCCCTTCCATGCACATACCAACCCAATCCTTTCTCCCAATCTAGAGATTAAGATTCTTTGACAGAGAACATTATTGTCTAATAAATTTGGTTAATACTCAAAGTACGAAAAGCCCCAAATGTACTTACAAAAAGTTCCTAGGGCTTACTCTAAAAGACTTATATCTACAATCTGCCAAAGGTTTCCATTTCACACCCTGGATTACAGCAACTATTTCCTTCTACTATATATTTTTCATCAACCTTCTCAGTCAAGATTTTAAATTGACAGGAACTATTAATTGCCTATACACAACAATCACATCTATTCTGCCATAAGATTCCAAACTTGGTCCTCTATTCAAAAACCTGAAAACATTACCCAAAGCCTCCAGCATAAAGTACAGACTTCCCATTATTCCTTTCAAAGCCTTGTGCAATCCGACCTCTCCATAACCTATCCTTACTGCCCATTAGATCTTCCACATACCCAACCCCTTAGTCACACGTGACTGATTAAGGTTCCATGAAAAAGATTATGCATGCATGGTCCTAGCTCCATGCTTTTGCTAATGCTAGCCCCTTAATCTAGAATACTACTCTCTTTAAGGAAATCCATTTATGCTTCAAAGTTAAGGAGAGAAGACTCCTCCTTCCTTATTCTCTAACTGAACTGTTTCTTTTTAATGCAATTAAAAAAAACACTGGGAGGTTAAACCAGAAATGCAGAAAAATTATTACCTATGGGGGTGAGAACAGGTTGGAGGGAATAGAGATAAAAGCAAGACTTCCCTGATACTTGTTTATGTGGTTTTAACTTCTGTACCATAAGAATGATTTACATAATCAAAAAATAAAGTTAAATAAATAAGAAAAAGTTTAAATCAACTAAACCTAGTCCAAAATATAATAGCAATACCAAAAATTACCACCAGCCTTAGGCTATATCACCCACCTTTGCCCAAAATATTACCCTATGATCCAAGGAAATATTAAAGAAGTCAAGGTGACCTAAAGGATCCTCTCTGGTTCTCAGTTCCCCAGAACATCTACTTGACCAAAACAATGTATAATTATACCTAATATGAAATTATGGATAGTTCCAGATATTTGTCAATCTTCCCCAACTAGACTATAAGTTCTATAAAGGAGAGACTTTATTTTATTTACTGTTGTATCTCCAGCATCTAGATGAGTACCTAGCAAATAGCAGGTACACAATAAATGGTTTTTGACTGAATTAATATATGTCCAGTGAATTAACCCAGTCAAGAAGGTCTTGGTATGACCTAGGCCTTGCAATGAACCTGAACTTAGTGGCTTCTGACACCCACCCACGAGATGGTGGGAGAATAGAGAGCACTTCAAACCTAAGAATGGACCTCAGAACTGAAAGGGGGCTCAAATCTTAGCAGTGCTTCTGGACTACAGCAAATCCTCAGCACTCATCTACCTTTAACTGCTCCAGGGTATACAATCTAGCGGTAGTTCGTGGCCTGGTGGCACCATCTAGCATAAATACACTGCTTTAGAACTTGTCTAAACAGAAATTAAATATCAGATTATCTCTTCAATGGCCCATCTGAGGATAGTTAAATTCAAATCTGTCTTATGCTCTAAACTGGCTCAATTATCTTAGAAAAGTAAAAATACTGAGTAATTAGAATTTACACAGACTTTGGAATTACTCTTTAAGATAACATTCCATGCAGCTTCTTCACCAGCCAATCTCCTTATACTTTCTCAAAGCTCTAAGCTTTCACAGTTATAAAAAGCTCTTTGTGTATCTTTCTACAGCAGTAGCTTTAGGCATCCAAGTTGTGCTCTAAAAACACCTATCTCCAAAACTAAAGCTGAATAGATTTTAATTTTTAAGTTGGAATTAACATGGCTTTAATGTCTTTGAAACACTGCCTATAAAACATTCTATATAAAGGTTAAAAACGTTCACTAACAAATAAAATTAAATCTTCTTACTCAGCTTTGATTTGGAGGATTGACAGATGTAGCTAGAGCACAACTCTATCTGCAGTGTTGGCAGTGGGTAAAAGACCAGTAGGATCCTAAATTCCTTAACTTTTTTCTTTTACAAATCTCTCAAGTATAAATTCTAAAACAAGACTTAACTGCCATATGTTGTAGATCTGAAACATTTGCTTAAGTAAAAAAGTAAGCGTTACTCATTAGTATGATTATAAACTGGTGCCTCTAAAGAATCTAAAATGGTTGGTTTTTCTTGTTAACAGTACTAATGCTCTTAGAAAATTGCTTTAAAACATAACAGTAGATTAAATGATTTTTTTGCTTTGTTTTTATTTATTTTGTTTTGTTTTGTCCTGCCCAGCACCTATTTAAAGAAACAAAAAACAAAACAAAAACAAACAAGCAAACAAACAAAAAACCCCTCAGCTATTCCTTTGTAGAACCACTCTCCTCTGCTATCAATCTATATAATACTTCCTGTAGAATTAACTCCACCTCCAACTCCAAGGAGGGTCACGTGACTCAGATCAGGCCAATCAGCACATTCCATCCCCCTGCCCATAACACATGATCAGGATCCTAGAAAACCCAGAAATTAAATTGTTGAGAGGTTTATTTTCCCCCTACTGGCCCAGAACCTGGAAAGGACATGGGACTAGAGATGCTGGCAGCCATCTTTACACCACAGTGAAATGAAAACAGCAAGTAAGACAGCAGAGTCCAGAGATGTGGAGCAAGACAGAGGTAAGGGATTAAGAGATACAAACTACTATGCATAAAATAGACAAGCAACAAGGATATAGTGTAGAGCACAGGGAATTATAGCTATTATAGCTATTAATGGAGTGTAATCTGTAAAAATACTGAATCACTATGCTGTACACCTGAAATTAATATTGTAAATCAACTATACTTCAATTAAAAAAATAAAAGTAAAAAAGTCCTGGCAACAGAATTTGTCTCTGGATCAAACCATACCTAAAATGGGAACTACTGTATAATGACATATCCAGTCCCTATAAAACTATCAAAGATTACAACTAGAGAGAAGACTTACATTGTAACTGTTTATCAAGAATTTATCCTGGGGCTTCCCTGGTGGCGAAGTGGTTAAGAATCCGCCTGCCAATGCAGAGGACACGGGTTGGTATCCCTGATCCAGGAAGATCCCACATGGTGCAGAGCAACTAAGCCCGTGCGCCACAACTACTGAGCCTTCGCTCTAGAGTCCGTGAGCCACAACTATTGAGCCCACGCACTGCAACTACTGAAGCCCGAGCGCCTAGAGACCATGCTCCACAACAAGAGAAGCCACCGCAATGAGAAGCCCACGCACCACAACAAAGAGTAGCCCCCGCTCGCCTCAACTAGAGAAAGCCCACGTGCAGCAAGGAAGACCCAACGCAGTCAAAAATAAAATATATTTTATAAATTAATTAATTAATTTAAAAAAAGAATTTATCCCATTAACAGGTTAGTAGATGAAGAGAACCTTCTAATTTAGAGGCAAGGTACAAAGAAATGTTTTATTTTGTTAAACATCTCCATATTTTAGAAAATGGTAATTTCTGGTGGGTCACTCCATTTTTGTTGATATAATTTTGAACCTTAACCTTGGTGATGGCAAGTCAAAACACACCCCAGAACTAAAAGAAAACCAAAGCAATTTTCAGTAGTAAGGTGCGCCATTGGTGTTCTATGTTCCTCCCAAATATTAGCACGTTTCCCTGGCTGGTATCTAAAACTTTCTGGTTTCTGAGGTATAATAATGACCAAAGAGAAACGTGGTGTCCTTGATCTTGTTCCTCGTCACTGCTGGAGAGTGACTCAGGGAGGCTGATGGCCAACAGAAGGAGGAAGAAATGGCTATCATGCACCCTCCTTCCCTGTACCCCTTGCTTAAAAAACAAGAGTAACTGTGTTTCTTAAATATAATGACTCCACAAATCCCCACCATCACCAAACTAAGCTATAATCCCACACACCTTTTATGACTCCCAAGACCATGGTGACGTATCTTCTAAACAAATTTTGAGTCTAATTTGCTTAGTCTACAAGAGCTATTACAAATCAATAATATAATCAATAATTTATAGTC